TTTTGTTGGCAAAAAGAGCTCACCTGTCCCTGTGATATGGATATGACTCAGATGTCAGCGAGACTGGAAACACGAGGAAGCATTTCACTGATGCTCTGGGGTTGAGAAGGTCAATTTCTACTCGTTAATGTATCATATGGCACTGAACAAGTTGCTTGATTAACCACTAATCAGTTTCCTGGAGACTGGAGAATCCATATAATCCTTTGAAAACAATTCTCAGAGAGGAGGCATGGGACTACACTTTGGACCATGCAAGAGCCCGCAGTCACTGAATGCCTTTTGCAAGAGATTGGGCTCAGTAATTTCTATCCATTCTTTTTCTTTTTATTGGCTGCGTCAGGCCTTAGATGCAGCACGTGGGATCTTTGTTGAGGCCTGCAGAATCTTTCCTTGCAGCACGGGCTCTGTAGTTTGCGGCACGCGGGCTCTCTCATTGAGGCATGCAAGCTCAGTAGTTGTGGCACGAGGGCTTAGTTAGTTGCCCCGCATGATGTGGGATCCTAGTTCCCCAACCAGGGATAGAACCCGCATCCCCTGCAGTGGAAGGCAGATTCTTTACCACTGGACCACCAGGGAAGTCTCCATCCATTCTTTTATTTAGTCCTTACAATCAGCCGGCAAAGGACATAAAGGTGAGAAAATTTGGGCTCACATCAAATACTTCAAGCTAAGGGGGTAATGAGGTCATCAGGCACCAAACCCTATGCTTTTCCCACCATGCTGCTTTCATATTGGGAGTTTATGGATGAGTGCAGGCAGGGTTGTGGTTGATCCAAACCCCAGTCATCCCTGGTTAGGTCTTTTGAGGTGAAGCGTGAGCCCTGGGGAATTTGGTCTCACAACTGTCTTTGTAGACCTGTTTAGGAGAGGGTGCCCTCTCAGCAGTGATGCATGCCTTTAAGAAAATGTTCCAGGGAGAAGGCTGAACAAGTTACACCAAAGGGAGAGGAAGCTGGGAGAGGAGGTACAATTGTTGGCTTTTTAAGACAACTAGAAATATATTTACCCTTTTAATTATACTCATCTACCAATACATCATCATCCAAAGGTTTTTTTAAATTTGGGTTTAGATTTGGAAATCAGTACTTGTAAGAACCGTCCATGCATTTTAGAGTAAAAAACAGATGAAGTTATACACAGCTTTTCTCACCTTGTTTAATGTTATCAAAGCAAGTGACAAATGTGATGGTCTAGGGCAAAGCAAAAAAACTAAAAGATAGATCCATCTACTTTTTTTGTCTAAGGAACTGTCAGTGACTGTTTTTCATTGGAACAGAGAACAATTACAGATCTGTACTTAATAGTTAAATTTGATTATTTTTATATAGGCCAACCTTAAAATCAAGGGCTCCTTGAGCAGGTTTGAGCCTGAAGAGTATTGTGTTAGAATATATTTTTTAGGAATCAAATTTCATTTTAAATTCTCATCTGGAGAATCTTTTCTGAAGAATTGAAGAGCCTTTCTTTTTTTTTTTTTTTTTTTTTTTTTCCCGGTATGCAGGCCTCTCACTGTTGCGGCCCCTCCTGTTGCAGAGCACAGGCTCCGGACACACAGGCTCAGCGGCTATGGCTCACGGGCCCAGCCGCTCCACGGCATGTGGGATCTTCCTGGACTGGGGCACGAACTCGTGTCCCCTGCATCAGCAGGCGGACTCTCAACCACTGTGCCACCAGGGAAGCCCTGAAGAGCCTTTCTAAAAGCAAATAATCATATCTAATGTATCTGTTTGATAAGCTTAGGTTTTTTTTTTTTTTACACTCATATTTCTTTAGGATGAGTCACATATGTTTGGGTCAAGTTGCTACACCATGTTACTACAAAGAAAATCTTCAGTTTTTTTAAAAGTCAATAAATGACTTTTTGGGTAATTATTATTGACTAATCTCAGAACCATCACATCAGAAGCCCAAGAGATAAGAGAAGGATTTCATAATGTCTATCTCATAAGGGGGCCTATCATGTATTCTGAAATATGCTAATACCAGTTAACTTGAGATTCTACATGATTGAAGACTTCTTGTTGAACAATGGGTTCAATGTTGGTAGGTTTTCAATGACAGAAAAGGAAGGAGAAAAATAAGGCAAAGGACTAAATCAAGAAAAATGATCCAGGCAGAAAAACCTCAGGAAAATGTGTAATGTAAAACAAACATTTTAATAAAAAAAAAGAGCATGTTTCTCCTGGTAGTGAAGAGTGTTGTCATACTTGTAAGTGAAAAAATATTTTTGAACAGAAAATGGATCTTAATTCTGCTAATAAAGTATTCATCAGGAGCATGGTGTGTAAAAGTAAGAATTAACATTTGGGGGATTTTTTTGAAAAAGCAAACTAAAGGGAAATTTACCCTATGAGAGAGAGAAAGGAAGGCAGGAGTGAGGGAAGAAGTGAGGAAGTTGTACAAATAGGGGAGTTGAGATCAGGAAGTAAAGGAGAAGCTTGAGTACCAGTGATTCTCAGGAACGGTAGTTGTGACTGTCAGCAATGACCAAGCAAGGCACATCTCGTGAAATACAGGCAAAAAAATAGATAATAGACAGCAAGAATCATAATCGGAGAGAAGAGAAATTGGACCTTGATCAGCAAGGGGTTTCTTATCTACCCATGTGTCCTTGAATGTCTCCCCGGAGAGAGAACAGGACAAGTCACTTGGACCAGGTTGCATCAGTTCCCAGGAAACTCAAGTCATATCTGGAGCCTGTACTGACCTTCATGAGCTGTATGACCAGTTGATCTGAATGAGGTTTTGTGCACATTATAACTAAGAGTGTTCAAAGACAGAAAGCTAGTTACAGTATCAGAAATACCCAGAGTATTTTGAGCCAGAAATCCTGAGCAATGATACCTCTTTTCCTGGTGAATATGCCAGCCCTTTAACGCCAGGAGAGAGAAAGAAGCATCGCCTCAGGATGTGTAAGCCCCTAAGAAGAGGTAGTATGGATTTAGGTTTCCAAAACAGTAAGAACATGCAGCATGCAGTTTGACAAACCTCCGTAATTTAAGTAAAGAGAAAAGAATTTCTAAAAATACCAGACCTGAGTGGGGGAAAGCCTTCGGGAAATTAATCAAAGGGACCAATACATTATTATGTGCTCCCTCCCCACCAAAACAAAAAAAGGAAAAATCTACACATATATTTAAGTCCTTGGACTCCTCCTCTAAAGTGTTTGGGTACAAGCTATAGATGAAAACACTTCTCACAAAACTCTATTAGAACTTAAAACTTTTATGAATATATAAAATGTAACCTCATATTATTAAACTCTACCATGTAGTCAGGTGCAATATTAATAATTAAAGCATTTTTTTTTCAAAATTATATTGAAAGCAATAATTTTTGTAACAATCTGAGACTGGTTTTACCAGGTGCTTTGCCAAGTTTGAAATGGTTGGGGAAACTACATAAACACAGCCCCACTTCTTTCTCATCCTTTTCATCTTGCTGACAGTTTTCCAGAGAATCATTACCAGAGTGGTTTGTGCCATTCGAGATAAGAGGCTATCTGTGTTTCCACTAGAAACCTCTATTTTCCAGACTTTATAACTCATCCGTAAATATTCACTCCAGGCAACAGTTTCATATATTATGATTCTGTCCCTCAAAATTCATATTGACTTAGCTAAGTGATTTTTAGAAATCATGAGGACTCTTACACTACAAAAAGAATAAGAAAAATCAAATGCAAATAAAGTGCTATGTTTCAGTGGGTATGATTTGAGTCAAAATACTGTGGAATCCATAAAACATGCACATGACTCTTTCCTGGCAATCCTATCTTTCAGGGTATTATTCAGTTGTAACAAAATTTAATTTATCAACAATAGGTCTATTAATTAATTCAAAATGTACATTTCCAGTTTATTTGTTTCTATAAAGGCAGCTAAATTTGAAATTATATTTTTTCAACTAAAACTTTTGTAGAACTTCCTATTCACAGTACTTTTCGTTACAGAATTTGAAGTCGAATTATATCAGAAGTTATGAAATTATATGACATAAGCTTTGAATACAATAATACCCTTAGTACCTGCAAAAATATTTTAAGAGTCTTATCAATATCTTATATTCAGGTGGTTTCTAGCTCCATGGTAGAAACCTCAGCATTCTAGAGTTGTTTTCTACCTGAAAAAAAAGATCTTACAAATTTAATGTTTTTATGAAATAAGAGACCAAAATATACTATTTCCCCCAGTCTGGGAAGATAGAATTGTAAAGATTAGGGAACAGAGACTAAAACCACATCAACCCATTAAAATGAAATACAATCAACCCTTGATATCCATGGGGGATTGGTTTCAGGATCCCCTTGGATACCAAAATCCAGGGATGTTTAAGTCCCTTACATAAAGTAGTTTAGTATTTGCATGTAACCTATGCACATCCTCCTGTATACTTTAAATCATCTCTAGATTACTTATAATACCTAATACAATGTAAATAGTTGCCAGAGTATGACAAATTCAAGTTTTGCTTTTTGGAAATCTCTGGCTGGGGGCGGGAGTGTTGGAGGGGTTTTCATTTGTTTTTAACTTAATTCAGTGTTGGTCGAATCCACTGGATTCAGGACCTGCAGATACAAAGAGCCAACTGTACTCTCTTCTTGATCTCATCATTTCCATTTTCGTACTCATGGATTTACATTGCTTGGATTAAATGGTCTTCTTGTTACACTGTGGAGCCCAGCTGTGTGTGTGAAATGCTATTTAGCAGGAACTGAAATAAATTACAACAATTAACTTGGTGGGGCTTCCCTGGTGGCGCAGTGGTTGAGAGTCTGCCTGCCGATGCAGGGGACACGGGTTCCCACACATGTGGGAAGATCCCGCATGCCACGGAGCGGCTAGGCCCGTGAGCCATGGCCGCAGAGCCTGCGCGTCCGGAGCCTGTGCTCCACAACGGGAGAGGCCACAACAGTGAGATGCCCACGTACCGCAAAAAAAAAAAAAGGCACTCAAAGCCTAACCTAAAGTGTGTTTCTCTTTCTTCTTTTCGAACAGCTATTTTGTGACAGTAAAAAGGTGGTGCGTGCCACAGAAGGGCTGGATTGGGAAGACAAAGATGCTGCCGGGACACTGGTGGGAAACGTGGTACACTCAAGGATCATCAATCCTCTGCGTCTGTTTGTTAAACAGTCTCCAGTCCCCAAGCCCGGACACTTGGCATACGCGGACAGCTTGGAGAACTTTTGGGATTGGCTGGCCAATATCACGGAGGTTCAGGAGCCCTTGGCAAGAACTAAACGGAGGCCAATAGTGAAAACGGGAAAATTTAAGAAAATGTTTGGATGGGGTGACTTCCATTCCAACATTAAAACTGTTAAGCTCAACCTCCTTATCACGGGGAAAATCGTTGACCATGGAAATGGAACCTTCAGTGTTTATTTCCGACATAATTCCACAGGCCTGGGCAATGTTTCAGTGAGTTTGGTACCCCCCTCCAAAGTGGTGGAATTTGAAGTTTCCCCACAGTCTACCTTGGAGACCAAGGAATCCAAATCTTTCAATTGTCGCATTGAGTATGAAAAAACAGATCGGGCGAAGAAGACTGCCCTGTGCAACTTCGACCCATCCAAGATCTGCTACCAGGAGCAGACTCAGAGCCACGTTTCCTGGTTGTGTTCCAAGCCCTTCAAGGTCATTTGCATCTACATTGCCTTTTACAGTGTTGATTATAAACTTGTGCAAAAGGTCTGTCCTGACTACAATTACCATAGTGAGACTCCATACTTATCTTCTGGCTGAATCTTTCTACAGCCAATAGAAAGAAAGGACAAATATATATTCAATTAGAATGACCAAGAACCAAGCCCAGCTCTTCATGGTAAAGGATCCCTTTTGTTTCTGGCAGTGAACCTTCATTCCCTATAAGGTTTTCAGACTTAAAAGAAAAAGAAACATCTCTAAATGTGAATTGTGTTTGTTTCGATCATAAGTACCTGAATCTAAAGAGTAAAACTGTGTATGAAGCCATCGCTCTCACATAGGATGGCTAAGTCCTCCAGGTATTGTTGTTTCTCTAAGAGTCCATGGTAGCAACATATAACAGGAAAGAACCAACTTATGCATGTGATAAACATTGCTCTTGAAGTGAGCCTGCCTTTGAAGTATGTTTTGGAAGATTACCTTAAAAATAGCAGATTCAGTAAAGCAACTGAAAAGATTGTATTGGGTAGATGAATCACATTTCTGACACTGAATTCTTTTTTTATTGCTGTCTTTTCTCCCACATCTGTGCTGTTACTGATATGAGAGATGAAGGGGTAAAATTTGTTTCAAAACTCATGTGTGAAGTTACAGTGCCACAGTGGAATGAAATACATTATTATCTGAGCTAGAATTGAGTGGAGTGGGATTTAAACACTTAGCCCTGGTTTGGTCACCATCCTCAGGATTCTCATGTGAGTAGTAACATTAGTGTATTAAGAAAGCAAATCTGGGTATATTGTAAGTCAGTTCAACAATAATGATGATCAGGATGTTTTTAGATTGTTTTGTCAAATTCAGTGCTGTGAGGTGGTCAAAAATATCATAAATCTGTATTCACCCTTTAACCTCATTCTATTCACTTGGTAGTATGATTTTTATATACAGGTGTAGAACAACTCTTGACTTGGGAGAAAGTGATTGTTTCCTAGGCTAGAATGGGAAAGAAATTGGAATTGGAAGAAGGAAATTCCGGGATGATATATTCATTATTTCTAGCCTCTTAGATTAAGTTCTCCTTGCATTTAATTATTTACATGAGGGATCAAATTGTGGAAATAAAGAGTATATTTAAACATTGCTAATTATTATTAAGTGTTAATAACCAAGATGCATGATTCACCAGTCTTTTGAGATGACTTCCTAATAATGTTGCTTCACAACCGTGTCCTCCTCATCTTCTCTGAGGGGGTCGACGGTCATCCTGTGTCATAGAACTGGATGGTCTTTGAATTAGCACAGAAAGACAGTCTGGCTGACCAGTGCAAAGGTTTCTAGAACCTGTAAGACTCATGGAATGGTTACTCTTTTTTACGATAGACATTAACTTTTTCCCCCCTTCTTATCTGTAAAATATCAGTTAAAGTAAAACATTAAATTGAGGACTAAAGGAAGACCAGTTCTAACGAACAAAAATGCTTTTACTACATTGTTCAAAAAGCCAGCAGCACTCATCTCTATTTTGCATCTCCATTCCTTTCCTTTTCTTGGTGATATCTGCACAGTGTTTGGTTTTTGTCTTTTGTAAAAATTGTACTAGACTTAGTGTGTGGTAGTACAGGCTTGAAATTTTTGCTCTGAGTTCATCGGGCGCTTTTGTAATTTTGTGGTTGGTGTGAACTATTTTGAGACATCTTTTTATTTTCACCTAGAAACAAGATTAAAATACTATTTATTGTAAAATATGTGGGAACCATCTATGTATATAAACTTAGAATTTTCTGTGTACAGAGAAAGTATGTGTACACATTTCTATGTAAATAAAAAGAATTTGCTAAATCTGTCACATGGCTTCAGGGTTGTTGTTTTTTTTTAAGACTGTTCTTGTTTCTTTTCCTCACAGTGGTTTAGTGTGTGTGTGGGTGCACGCGCGCGCGTGTGTGTGTGTGTGTGTGTGTGTGTGTGTTTTATCAACTGAGCATTAAGATTTTCCATATGTTCATATTAAACAGAACAGCTAGGCTATGGAGATTTTAAAGTAGAGTAAAAGAATAACTCATATAAACCACTTGACACATAGCTTGGCATCTAGTAAGAATTCTGTGTGAGCTGCCATTATGACTGTTATAATTATTATTACAGATCAAATGCGATTTAAAACTATCTGATGTTCAAAAGTTGAGTGGTATAAACATTATATGCATGCAAAGAAATAAAAGCTAAATCAGTCTACACGATTCTTAGATTTTAGCAGTATCTGTGGAATTAAAAAAAAAGAAAGAAAGAAAGTTCCCCAGGCATATTTTTTAATTGGCATAGAAAATATGCCACATATATTTTTTAGTCATAATTTCATTTCAAAGCCTACATAATTGTCATTAGTGGTACTTGGCACAATACAAATCAGATCCCATTTAAACATGCAAATGCACACATTTCCACAAAACCATTTTTGCCTTTGAGTACTGCAGTTGAGGAAAAGGACATTCATGTAAGCTAATTTTATACCCAATCACAAATTGTTCAAAATGTAAAGGAAAAGACCCTTTTAAAAATGAAAATCAAACTAATAGATGAACACCTGAAAACAATATAATGTGTGTCAATTATGCCTCAATAAAAAAATTAATTAAAAAAATAAAAAAGCACTAGTAGAAATTTAATCTTCAAGAAGGTGTTAGTTATCTTCTCAGGATCTCTCTAGGCCAGCTGTTTACGAGAAAGCGAATGAGTTTGAAGACCTTTTCACCCCTCAGCAGAAACAATCTTGTTACTCATCACCACACAGAATCAGAAAAGAGGTCATATTTCCATGACTCTGGACAACGTGATCATACCAGCTACAGGGTCTGTAAAATCTGGGGAAGGGAAATAAGAGAAAAAACCTGTGGACACCATGTAGCACAGCATAATCAGTAAAAAGGAAACAACTTTCTTTCTTCCTACTGCTTGGTGCTTGGAATTTCAACACATTCTCATGATCTAGAATAACAGAGCAAGAGTGACTGTGGTTCTCTGGCGTGGGTACTCATAAGAGAACCTGATTCATATCACATTATATTCTTTAATCTGTATTCTGCAACACTGTTCTTTATAGTGACGCAGATGCTACATGACCCACAATTGCTACACCTTAAACATTCCACAATTGGCTGATTCTTTCTCCATTCAAGACATGGTTCTGCTGAGTAGGAGCTGCCATTAAGTGCAGTCGATACATCAGCAGTACTACCTGTAAGCTTGTTAGAAATACAGAATCTCAGGTCCTACCTCGGACACCCAATTGGAGTTTTCATTTTAACAAGATACCCGTGTGACTTGTATTTACATTAAAGACTGAGAAGTACTTCCTTAGAAACTCTGAATTAGTAAATGGAATTAGTAAATTAGGAATTAAGGATCTACATCTTAAATAAGAACCCTAGGTTGTGCTGGTTCCAATAGGCTTCTGACAATACTTTAAAAAAATGTTGAAGGAAACAAACCCTTTTAAAAATGAAAATTAAACTAACAGGTTGATAACCAAATAAAGAAAGTAATAAACCAACATTAACATATAGAAGAGTAATATTTCAAAGAGAGTACAGCCTATACTATCTTCTGGTTCATCCCTCTCATTTGACAAGACAAGTAAAACCAAGACCCCATCAGAATCAAGGACATGTCCAGTTAGCACGTGACAAAGCCAACTGAAATGCAGGTCTCCTGACTCCTCTTCCCAGGTCTTGTGTTACAGAAGAAAGGTAAATTGAAGCAGATATTCAAAACAAAACAAAATTAATTGCGGTGAGTTTATTACAAGACGTGATCCCGAAGCCAAAATTGAACGTGAAAATGGCTGGAAATGCTCTCTTTCCAAAATCCTCAGGATAGTGATTTCTCTAAGAACACAAAATTTTTTAAACCTAAAACTCTGGAAAAATGAAGTCAGAATAAAACCATTATGTCCAAAGATGAGAGTCCTGGGATGTATTAGAGGTATGATTGGCTAAGAGTTAACAGCAGTTACTACATTTGACAGAATTTTCAACTGATTTTAACACCCGAGAATACATTTTCATAGAAATGGGTAAATTGTGTGGAATGCCTTAATTACCCAAGGGTCCAATTTTACTTCATAAAATAGAGGATGGAGTCATGCATTTTTACTTGCAGTAAAACTATCGTTAACCCCAAGTTAATTAATCAGAACATTCAATGAATGGAAATTTCATGTCTCCAACTGTCAGTGACAAATCACAGACAAAGAAGCTCTTGCTGCAGATTTTTTTTCTTCATAAAAATCTTGTAAAAAATATTCAAGGGTCATTTCGTATTCACCTCATGTCCTACCCCATAACGCGAGGTCTGGAACCCTGGGAATGTATCCCGTTCTGCTTCACTGGTCGTCTTCCCTTTTCATAATGCTGCTCGGCTTCCCCATAAATAGCCCATAATCTCTTCTCAGAAAGAATGAGTTAACTGTGTCCACCAGAGCAATGGGCAAAGTGTCTGGTATGTAGTAGGTACTTAGTCAATATCTGTCACTCGATTTTTTAAAAATCTCCAGTGAAAAAACAGTGATTATTCAAGACCCCCACTACCCACCTGAGTTTCCTTATTTCCAACATGAAGACGTTGCTCCAGCTGAATGTGATACCTGTTCAATGCTAGCTCCCAGAACCACAGAAGCTTAAAAGATGGAAACACTCTAGAATAGGTTTTGTTTATCAGATAAAGAATTGGTGACCTGATGAGGTTCAACAGCCTTTTTTTTTTTTTTTTTTTTTTTTTTTTTTTTTTTTTT